AAAAAGTTAAATTAGATAAAGTTTAAACAAAAGGATTTTATTATCATAGACATGAATACAAAACAGATGGCGCGTAACGGAAAAATGTGACGCGTAACCGAAAAATGTGACGGTAAATTTTTTTCCAACGCCGATAAGGAAGTTTCACTTCAAAAAACACAATTTATCAAACAAAAAATATATATATATATATCCTCTAGTGTGATTTAGGCGTCATCGATTATAAAATATTTTCCACCAAAGAAAAACGTTCACAGAATACATTTTTTTTCAAATTAGTATTGTAAAAAGTTATCAGTACTATTTAAAAGAACAAGAGGTCCCGCAGAAGTCGAAATTCGACTATAATTAATTGGAATTGTAAGTTTGTACACTACTATGATTGTATTTTATACAAATTTCGCCAAGACTACACTATAAAAAATATTAACAAAGACAAACAATATTTAATCTCAATTTGACAACAGACGTCAAGAAGAAAAGTTTGACAATAAATAGTGTGTGTAACGTTTTCTTTATTGATTTAATGTATCTTTCACGCATTATTTTATAAAAATATTAGCATTGTGCACTTCTTCTCTATATTCTCTTTAAGTGTGGAAAATTTCATACTCCTCCGGCCGCGCAATTATCGTAAAAAGGGATACAAAGTTTTTGCTTCACGTATTAATATATAGATTATATATTGAGCTGTGGGGCCATTTAGTTTTAGCGATATTTTTGCAACTTGACAGTAGATAGAGCCATTTAGAGTTTAAAATTTAGAAAAATTAATAATGACCAAAAAAATCTTTAGCTATTTGAATGTGGTAACACAATTGAAGATCAATTAAAAACATCGAACTGTTGATGCTGATACGAAATAAAACGGACATATTTAATAACAAAAATAAATGGCGCGTGTTAAGTGAAATGTCGCTTAAGCTTTTTACTCATCAAATATTATTTTTCTATTTTATTTATAATATTATTAATAACAATAAGTGTAATTTTATTAAATTTACAAGAAAGAGGGTTCCGTTTCAAGCCACATACTTCATAAACAACACACCCCTTCAAGAAGTCAATACTGTTCGGGACTTGGGCATCATCTTGGATAGCGCATTGAGCTTCAGATCCCATATTGATAACATAATTAGCAGGACCTCTCGGCTTTCTGGTTTTATAAATAGGCAAATGAAAATATTCAANCAGCGTGTCGTCTGCGTAACAGATTAGGCTTAGGCCCGGGAGGAGGGCACCTCTCAGTACCCAGTCATACCCGATATTCCACAAAAGGGGGCCGAGCACCGACCCCTGTGGAACACCGCGCACGACCGGGAACCTGTGCACGATCCCACCGTGCTCAGTACACGTGACCGATCTGTCCTCCAAGTAGGAAGCCACCAGTAGGCGAAGGTAGGGGGGCACACCGTGTCTTACCAGGGGCATTTTATTTTAAATAAAAGAACACTTATTGCGGCATAAATATTATTATGCTGTCGGGGCACTTTTTGTAAATAACAATGTTTTTTACAAAGTCGTAGTACATTATTTTATTCTATCATCAATAGTTTTCGTAGGGCACGCGACGTAAATAATATTTTAGGTAAATTTCCAAGTCTCTGCGCCGTAGAGAAAAATTGCCACCCAAACACGGTCCATTTGGGACATAGCTCTCTTTGCCATACTGATTCGCCTTCTGAGGTCCTTTTCGGAGGATCCATTACTAGCTATGACGGAGCCCAGATAAATAAAATCCTCCACGACTTCCAAGTTTAGCTTATTCGTACTTTAATAAGTTATTATTGTTAGTAGTGTTATTTACTAGTCGAAATATAAATTTTTAATTATCTTATGATGAGAATCTTATATTAATGAGAAAGATATTCAACAAAAATAGTTTCGTTCTAATAAATTAGCATAGTAATAGTACAGTAAACTAGCAATTTATTTTGGTAATTCTGAATTTAAACAAACATATTGATGAGAAGAATTCATTTTTACTTTGCAAATTTGTAAATACAGGCTCTGTAGCAATGTAAGGACATATAATAATATGAAGAAACAATAATAGCATCTACAAATATATATGTACTACGTGGTACTTACTACATTTACTAAAATTAATACAACATTTATTAATTAAATTAATAAAATTGTGGTTTTAAAGTTTTAGGGGTGTACAAAAAATGGGGGGCGCTGAAAAATAATTGATTTTCAAAGGGGGCGGTAAAAGAAATAAGTTTGATAATCACTGCCTTAGAACTTATATCTCAAGGTGGGTGGCGCATTTGCATTGTAGATGTCTATGGGTTCCAGTAACCACTTAACACCAGGTGGGCTGTGAGCTCGTCCACCTATCTAAACAACAAAAGCACTGCTCTTGTTAGGGCTGGTGTTAGCAAATTCTCTCAGGTTGAGCCCGTGAGCTCACCTACCCGCCTGCGCGAATCTGGAATAGCCCCATATTGTATGGAAGCTGTGTGATCCTTCGAACTGGAACACGCGACTGAATCTCTGGGGAGTGCTCTGAGGAATTGTTCGAGATGATCCCCTCATCTCCTTTTTATCATCGCATCTCCCGCCATCGGAGCAGAGTTCATCCATATTATCTGGAACCGCTGCGTTCATCGACAGTGCGTTCCCAGAGGTCTTTTTTGCCACGTACCATCCGGCTATGGAATGAGCTCCCCTCCACGGTGTTTCCTGAGCGCTATGACATGTCCTTCTTTAAAAGAGGCATGTGGAGAGCATTAGGCGGTAGGCAGCGGCTTGGCTCTGCCCCTGGCATTGCTGAAGTCCATGGGCGACGGTAACCACTCACCATCTGGTGGGCCGTATGCTCGTCTGCGTAGACGGGCAATATTTTTTTTTAAATATAGCTCTATCGTCTTAGAGAGTGTAAACAAAAAAAAATATTTCTTTTTAGGGATAGAAACATGAAACAAAGCGGCTGTCTTCAACTCGACAGACACTCTTCAAAGAGTCCTTTATTCTTGGAAGCTAGATGCGAACGGAAAATGCAATTTATCTATATATTAATACGTGAAGCAAAAACTTTGTATCCCCTTTTACGAAAATTGCGCGGACGGAGGAGTATGAAATTTTCCACACTTATAGAGAATATGGAGAAGAAGTGTACAATGCTAATATATTTTTAAAATAATGCACAAAAGATGCATTAAATCAATAAAGAAAACATTACACACGCTACCATGTATTTGACACACACACATATACTCTTTGTTTATTGTCAAACTTTTGTTTTGACGTCTGCTGTCAAATTGAGATTAAATATTGTTTGTCTTTGTTAATATTTTTTATAGTGTAGTCTTGGCGAAATTTGTGATTATAGAAGTATAAAATACAATCATAATAGTGTACAAACTTACAATTCCAATTAATTATAGTCGAATTTCGACTACTGCGGGACCTCTAGTTTGTTATAACGGTAAATACATAGCTTAACTCATTTACGACATATAGTAAGCTTACACGAGTAAATACCATCATTGTGTTCTATATGCTGCGAAAAAATTTGAAGGGCATGTTGTATTATAAAGGCTCCGATTTTCGCTTAAACTTCATGGAGTGTGAACACAGTCTACTGTGTGCTTAGTGCGTGTTTTTTAACACTCCCGATAGCGTAAAAGTTAACTAAAAAAAAAAATATGTGTGCAATTCACACGTGGTAGAAGTGAAACCTTCCAAAATTAAAATACAATTATCCTAAACGTCTTAAGTATATGTAAAATTTTGTCATTAGTAAATAATTGTAAGGTAGCGCCCTCTGTGAATTGATATTTTAATTTCACGTATAATCCTGAATTAAAATTCACTACAAGAGCTTTCATACACACATTAGTATTAAAAAATCTCACAGATGGCGCTGTATTAAATAGTATGTATATTTCTGTCTCATTCTTTGCTGGCTTCATCCTACACATTTTTGTATTTGTGTCTCTTACCTGTCGTTTTTTCCGTTGCATCCGGTTTGAAATCACAACTTCAATATTGCTAAACAGACAGACGATACCAACCGCGTACGGGTTCGCCATACAAGCCACCGGTGAAATACTAACAATGAATCGTGTCGTCAACATAATCGTGTCTGCCGATCTGATAAGGTAAGCGTTTAATTACAAAAAGCCGAAAGACTCGATCCGGGCGCGAGACTTGCTCCAGTACGAGCCGAACACGAAAAACCGTAGAGATGATTTCGCACTGTTTAATTCTGTAGTGTTTTTTTTTTATTGCCCTTGTAGGCAGACGAGCATACGGCCCACCAGATAGTGAGTGGTTACCGCCGCCCATGGACTTCAGCAATGCCAGGGGCAGAGCCAAGCCGCTGCCTACCTCTTCGGTATTCGTGAGTCGTGGACATAATTAGAAAGCTATCATAGATAATTCACATAAACTAGTTATAGATAAGCGACTCAAGCACTCAACAAAACAACAAACAAAAAGGTTTACGGGCGTCGGCCACTAGATGGCTTCACTTCGATTAGTTTCTCATTGCTCCTGTAGATGGCAGTAGCACATTACCTATCCTATGTTTTATTTTTAATGAAGGATTTTGTAAATTTTCAGATACCACTAATAGATAAAATTTAATCAATTTGTCTACCTATATATTAATACGTGAAGCAAAAACTTTGTATCCCTTTTTACGAAAATTGCGCGGACGGAGGAGTATGAAATTTTCCACACTTATAGAGAACTAGCGACCCGCCCTCGCTTCGCTTCGGAAACATTAAAACACACATGAAACCAAAAAAATAAAATAAAAAAAATTTAAAAAAGTAGCCTATGTTCATCAGGGACAATGTCGGCTTCTAATGGAAAAAGAATTTTTCAAATCGATCCAGTAGTTTCGGAGCCTATTCGAAACAAACAAACAAACAAATCTTTCCTCTTTATAATATTAGTATAGATATAGAGAGGAAGTGCACAATGCTAATATTTTTTTAAAATAATGCATAAAATATACATTATTAATAAAGAAAACATTACACACACTACATACCATGCATTTGACGCACACAAGCATGCATACTATTTACTGTCAAACTTTTGTTCTTGACGTCTGTGGTCAAATTGAGAATAGATTAAATATTGTTTGTCTTTGTTACCTAATATTTTTTATAGTGTAGTCTTGGCGAAATTTGTGATTATAGAAGTATAAAATACAATCATAATAGGGTACAAACTTAGAATTCTAATTAATTATAGTCGAATTTCGACTACTGCGGGACCTCTAGTAACAAATAAAGACCTGTATGATTTATAATTTTTTTATATTCTGTGTTTAGTTACACAAGAATTTAATGTCATAACTTTAACAACGTATAAATTTAGGGCCATCCGCAACAAGATGTCGATAGTTTCCATACATGAAAAATATTTTTTCTTAAATTATCGCAGTTTCAGGGCCTTGAAAGCTATTTTTACGATTCAATCTCTAGTTTATTCTAGTCATTATACTGAATTATTATTTACGAATATTTTACAGATAAAAAAAAAATAACGCTTCAATTGGGATATGTTTGTCAATTTAGTAATTTTTTTTTTCCTACCTCTTCTAGTAACCTTGAGGGGTTAATCTAGATTCGCCGAGCTAATAGTAGAGCTCACGGGGCTCAAACCTGACGACGTTGCTAATACGAACCCTAGCAAGAGTCGTGCTTCGCAGAATCTACCCCCGGATCGGAAACGCGACCCACTGAGAAGATCCGGCGAGAAACTCAGTGGGCTGTGTCTGTGGGTTAATTTACTCGTCGAGCCCTTCATCGCTAGCGACGGGTTCGACGAGAATGATGACCGTGTTACGATGTCACAAGACATCCTACCACCAGTAATTACGCAAATTTAAATTTTGCGGGTTTCATTTTTATTACACGATGTGTTATTCCTTCACCGTGGAAGTCAATCGTGAACATTTGTTGAGTACGTATTTTATTAGCAAAATTGGTACCCGCCTGCGGGATTCGAACACCGGTGCATCGCTCAACACGAATGCACCGGATGTCTTATCTTTTAGGCCACGACGACTTTAAAAACTTTATTTTAAAACATTTCAACTCCATTCCGCCCTGTTCTCTGGCTCCTCCCACCTGTAGCTCCGCTCATGTGAGTCATAA